CCGTAACCCGTAACCTACCGTAACCTAACAACGTAAACGTAAAGTAAAGTAAAGTAAAGTAAACGTAAACGAAAACGTAAAACGTACTACTCTACTACTACTAACTACTCTCTCTCTCTCTCTCTCTCTCTCTCTCTCTCTCTCTCTCTCTCTCTCTCTCTATTAAACTTTATTTCATTCCATAAAAAAAACCACCTCCTTTACAATTGAACCTCGACCCTTTTAATTACTACTTTCTAAAGCTCCTAAAAAAATGCACTCCTTTCTTTTAATAGATATATTATGACTATGTTCCACGTTTTACTCCGTTTATAATAAGATAAAACATTCTAAGCAAGTTAATCCAAGAGATAAGCCCCTATCTGAACTAGAAAACTTCCTATCTCACGTCCCTTCTAAAGATGAACCTCCAAACCTCATTGTAAAAGATAAACTTCCAATAGATCTCCTACTAGATTAGAAAAAACAAACCCCTTCTTCCTAACTAATAATTCACATCCTTAGCTTGTGATAAGGCTCCTTCTAAAACCTCATTCAAGGAAAACAAAACCGGACTCTTATCCTTCCTATGAAAAAAAGTAAAATACTATGGACTCTTGTAATCTAAAAAAAAAAACTTATTAAAAAGCCAGACTTTATTAAACTAACCCAAAAAAACACATACTAATCCTATTTCTAACCATTGGCCCTTATAAATTAAAAATAAAAATACAACCATAAAAAATAAATAAATAAATAAGTTCTATGTAAATTAAGAATAAAATTATTGAATCCATCAATATCTTGATCTGCATCACATCCAAGATGTTCATAGGGAAGCCCATGAAGAGTTTAAGAGGCAGGCATGGTTAGAAGTAGTGTTGTAAACAGGTCAGATCAACCCTGACCCAGTAAGGTTCAACCTGGACCCAGACCTAGACTGGGTCAAGTCTAGGTCCGTCAGCACCAAGCCCGACCTGCAGGTCCAATAGACGCACGCGCATACACACACGTAGCAAAAACACACACATGCATACGTAGGCACACACACAACATATATATAACCAGGTTGGATTTGGGTTGGATCAAGGCTGAGCATCCATTTCTCGTATATCGCTACCGAGAAGAGGGATGTGTACCTCCAGCAACAACAAGAAATAAACCATACGCAACGAGCAAAGCCCCTGCGAGTTCAGACATTAGCACAACGTCAAAGCAAACAAAATAGTAAAGAGCCCTTTTTGCTCTTGCCCAAAGGCTAGGAGTAGGAGCGAGTACCAGACCTGGACCCAGACGCGACTCGGTTAGATCTGGCTGGACCTGGACTAAGTGTCTCCAAGTTGAAGCTTGTGCAAAGAATCATGCAGTGAATTTTAAAAATTTAAGACCAAATGGATTTGCTTTCAAGAAGAAGTTCTAAGACCCCAACCTCGCAAAATGGCTGTGGCAATCCTGGTTCTCACATATGCTAGAGATCAAGTGTTTCCAGACAAGGATCACATGCCCCTCTTATTGATTACAATATAAAGAGCATGATCGATTCATAGTTAAAGGCATATACCACCAAAAACAAAACTCCAATAGGTAACTTTCAAAAGTAAGTACAATTTTTAAGGAAGACAATTAACACAAAAATATTCAGTTCTAATAAGAAGAAGAAGAATAATGTTTGCAAACTAAGCAACCAGAATTTTGTGAAGAAAGACCAAGAATGATGAACAATATTGTGTCTCTTCACCCCATTTGCACATATTTGAATGTTAAAGCCCCAAGAAGCAGCAGTGCAAACGGGTTGGGGTGAGTCTCTGTCAATTTTTTTTTCTTTTTTTTTTGGAAATTTTAAATAAAATTGATGACTTAGAGTTGGGGCAATTATATATAAATATAACTGGGTCACGTCGGATGAATCCCAACCACCCAGTCAGGCCTGGGTTGGACCCGGACCCAGACCTAACATGTTGGGCCCTAGTGGTTGGTCCAACCCTGGGCCTAAGTAGGGTCAACTGGCCACTCGACCCGACCCAATTATCACCCCTCCCAAAGAGCACACCGAACTTATTTTCTGCAAGGACTTTAAAATTTTCAAGGAATAAAGATTAAGGACTTCTCGCTTCCAAGGCTTGTTTAACATATTGACTTACTCAAAATGGACAGTACAAACAAAAGATTGGAGAAAGTTCGTAACAAATCAAGTGCAACCCTATGATCATTGAAATGTTAACCTACAAATAGTAGCTCTTGTTGCCTCCTAAACTATAGCTATAGCAAAATACAAATTTAAGTTATACTCATGAATTAAGAAAGTGTCCAATGGTTGCACAAATTGTAATGTTGTGATTGTGATTAATGAAAGAAATTATCATCCATAAAGTCTGGTATATTTCATGCAATATTGCCCTCAGAACTCAACACTCTTAACAAACATTTCTCAGTTTATTCTTTACTCTTTACTAGTTTCCATACAGATCAACAAACAAACCAGTATATTTCAAACAACTAAAAAATTTTGCTCACATTCTACAAAATTATGCAAAGAAGTTTACGTCATTATTCAGGTCGAAGCACTTTAATGGTATCAAGTAAGGGACTAAAAAATAAGTTTTCAAGTCCAATCCTCTCAGAAATCTTAGAAAGAACCTTATGCATCACAACTCGAGAGCAAGAAACTCCAACATGCACCCAAGTAAGAATGAAGGATATAAATGACTAGAAGATGTGTATCTGTTTTCTTTTCCTAAAATTGGATGGCACATGGCTGTCAATATAACTTAAAGAAAGGGAAATCACAAATGCGTTAGTTACCAACCAAGCATAAACAGCTTTATCAAACATAAAATTTTCCAAATGCAGTCCTACCTTCCATCAACTGCGGCATCAAATGTGAAAGAGACCAAATGCTGGTCAGGATTCTCTTCATCCAACTCGAGCTTGATCGTGTCCTTCTTCAAATTAACCTCGTTTCTTATCTTGACCGCCTTTTCATGCTGAACGAAAGGAGGTGGAGGAGGGGCATGAAAACCAATAGGTTCGGCACGAGGACGAACAAATTGCCAAACCCCATTGTGGTTATGGTTATATGGGTAATCAGTCCTTCCCACCAGAGGCCCAACAGACCCACTGCCACTACTATAACCAGAATTTTGACAATGATAATGGTAAGAAGGTGGCGGTCGATAGGGTACTAAATATGGTGGTGGTGGTGGCGGTGGTGGTGGAAATGGTGAATTAGCAGCAAATAAATAGCTTGAATTTGAAGGAGCACACTGGTAATTCCCTGAATAAGACGGCAATGGAGGAGGTGGAGGTAGAGGTGGAGATGGAGGTGGAGGAGGAAGTAGAGCTGGAGTTGGAGGTGCTGCAGAAGAGGAAATTGTAGGTGGAGGAAGGAGATTATTGATACTGTGATTATGATTCTCAAAGGGGTTTTGACTATAACTAGGGTTTTGATTGTAAGTAGGGTTTTGGTGGTAATTGTTTCTTCTCCGGTTGCTCCAAGAAATGCCCATGGATGATCTCAATAGATGAAATTCATGCTCAAACCCAAAACCCTAAAATCCCTAGAACCTAGAAACCAGGGAACTGAAACCCCCTAAAAACCAGAGATATAAACAACCATATCAAATTTTGATCGACAAATAGCATTACTCCAGTAATCAATGGATTTCACGCGAGGCAGGAAAGATGGAATGAAATCTAATTGTCAAATAAGCGCAGAAGAATACAAGCTTGCAGATAATCAGAGACGGACACTCATGAATTGCAACTTGTAAAGGAAATAGAGACGAAAAGGGCCAAAACTTTACCTCATTTTACAGATGGAGCAGAAGCTCATAGAGCGAGAGAGAAACAGAGAAAGAGATGTAAAACCTAGGCGCTTGAGAGTGAAGACATTCTAGAGAGAGAGAGAGAGAGAGAGAGAAGGGGTCCATACCATCCTGCGAATAAATTCTACAGAGATGAAACGCGTACGGGCCAAAGAGCTGAGGTTCTCCACCAGCCTGTCAAGAAAGTCTAGAGAGAGAGAGAGAGAGAGATAAAAATTCTAGAGCGAGAAAGAGATGTTCTCATTTCTCGTCCGAATAAACGTTTCGCAAGTTCGTAAATGCTTGGTTTGCTTGGACTACAAGGAGGGTTAATTGACGACCAAAGAAGTGTCGCATTTTAAGTAAGACGAAAATAACCCTGGTAGTTTCATTGTAACCAAATAAATTTATTAAGGCCAAGCTTCATAGAAAAAATAAAGCCTTACTTTAAAACTCATAGAAAACCAAAGTCTTGGTATTTGAAAAACCCTCAAATCAATCATTAAACCTTGATCATTATGATTCTGAAAAAAATTATAATTTTAAATTTTAAAAATAATATATATTATAATACATTATCTAGAGCAGCCATTTTCAAATGTTCACATTTTAAACTACAAATTTCATAATTAAAAATGAAAATAGATCTTCGAGTCATCTTAAAGATTTCCTATGTCCAAAGTATTTTTCAGACAAGATTTCAAGGTGAGGCTTTACTTTTTCTTCATAACGTATTAGCCTTATAGAAACTATATCATTTGTTTAACATTTTACTATTTTATACCATTCCAACTAAAGCTCATGTATGTTTTTAATAGTCTAATTAAACTACAAAATTAGGTAAAATGTCAAATAGTTCATCTCTTACATACTTTTTGATAAAGTTTTCACAAACAAAAATCACCTCATAAGTTGAAGAAAAAATCTTTTTTTTTAACTTTGAGCCAAGTCAATAACACATTCTTGACCACCCGATTTGAAATCTGACAAACAAGAATGATTATGACTTCTTTACACCAATAAATGATCTCTTTGTATACTTGTCGATTATAATTCATGTGCTCGTGTCCAACATCTTCTTTGTGTTTCCATGGACTTGATCAACTATTCTTATATCGCCCAACATATATGTAAAACGCGGACGGTAAGGGTTAAAGAGCTACTCATTTCCCCCTATCTTTGGATATATATGGATAATTGATATTGAGTTTGAGCGCCTATTCCATATTCACTGGGAGTATGAATGTATCCCCCATAAGCAATTGAGATGTGTGAAATTTAATATATTGGAACGGAATATAAAAATAAGGGATTGTATATTATAAGATCATTTATATTCGGTACAAAAAAATAGCTCATTTTTAACCATTGGATATGAAATCCGAAATTTTGAAATACGTTACAATATTCAAAAAATGTTATTTTAGATTTTGTGTCTAAATCAATGACACATCCCAACACCTTGATTTCATATCTAATAGTCAATTATGATTTCTTTGTATAAAAAAAAAATAATTTTATTGTGCCTATATTTCCTAACCGCAAATAAAGTCACAACGCATAGAATACGGGCAAGTGTCTCCTTTATATTCTCTTGCAAACTCTCCTGAACTTTTGTAAACATGTAATTATCACATGGAACAACATGTAATTATCTTACAAACAGTTGATTAGTCGTCTAATTTCATGGGAAGGAGATTGCCTAATACTGATATCTTTTCTGTTTCTTTGCCATTTGGAAGAAGGGGTTAAAAAAGAAATCGAGTTGGCATGATGCATAATGCAAGGGTTAAACTTTTTGGTCTGTGCCTAAAGATAATAGATTAGGAGATTAATTTCAGAGTACCAACTCAAAGGAAAAATAGTTCAAAAACTTTGTTCAGCCATTTAAACTTCAAGAAAAAATGGAAAATAAATTAAAAAAGAATAGAACCCGGGAAAGAGAAAAGGACGTCACAAAATTGGGTGAGAAACAAAGAAGATCAAGGCAAGAACAAACTGAAGAAGAACATGAAACTAATCTCCTAATCTATTATCTTTAGGGACAGACCAAAAAGTTTGACCCTTACATTATTCATCATGCCAACTCGATTTCTTTTTTAACCCCTTCTTCCAAATGGCAAACAAACAGAAAAGATATTGGGTGAGAAACAAAGAAGATCAAGGCAAGAACAAACTGAAGAAGAACATGAATTTAAAGTGAAATCAGTAGAATATCAGTGGAACTCGATGCAGTTTTAAGGAGAGTTCTAGGCTTCATAACTAATTGAGATCTCCATATGAATCCTAATCCAAGTTTCACTATTGTCAAATGGATTTTATATTGCCTGAAGGCCCACAATAATTATTACGAAAATTGTACACTAGAATAAGATTTATTTTTTGTACAAACAGGTCAGAATAGATCCAAGCCATCAAATGTAAAATTAAGCAGATAGAAATGTGACAAAAAATTCAATAACATTTTTTTAGAGTTTCGACAAAGGCATACTCCTAATTATTAAATTTCAAATATAACGTCTAGGAGTGATTATGGCCTCTTAAATGGTCTCCCTAATTACTTGTCCATTGCTATATATATTTTTTCCTTTTGAGGTAAAGTCCAATATTTAAATATTTTAAATAAAGCTTACATGAACACATGGAAGCAGAAGGAGAATTACGAAATTTACAGAGCCAGTATCCAACCACTAATATGTAGTTAATTATCCACTGTAAACATTGGGCTCAAACATCATGACAGCATCCCAGGTGCTAGACAAGCAGGGTGCCCATCATAACGATAATGGCTTCACCTCGAATTATCACTCGATTTGCATCCTTCTTGTATTCAATCACTAACTTTCCACCTCTTTCTGATGCCTGGATTAAACAACGCAAAGCATAGTAGTCAGCAAGATATGGAAGTGCAAACTAGGAGTGACATTGGGCCGGGATCGGTTTGGGCCAAGCTTGGACCCTTCTATATATATTTGGTTGAGCCAGTCTAGGCCTAGTCGTGGAGGCCATATGTGCCAGCCCGGGCCGAGTGTTACAGGGGCCAAGTCGAGCTATTGGGCCTAATTGCCATCCCTACTGAGCCAAGTGATTGTTATCGGAACCAAGCTAGTCATTGACGGGTTACAGGTCAGGTCCAGTTAAAATCGAATGGATTCCTAGTTGAATAAGTCAAACAAGATTGATTAAAAAAAAAAAAAGCTTAAAAATATAAATATTTTTTTAAAAAAGTTGCATGGCTTTGCTCAATCAGCCTAACTGATAAAGAAACATGTGAACTAACGGACCAAAACCGATCAAAACATCGATTTTGACAAACTTTCAAACGAGTTCTATTTTTACTTTGGAACAAACTGGTTAAAGCACCAATTGGTAGCCTGATCAATTGTCTCGATAACATTGAACTATGCAATGTGTGTGCAGACATATGTTTTTCTTTTCTTTTGCAGCAAAGGGAGCAGGGAGGCGGGGAATTGTGGTGGGGAAAAAGAGAGAGAGAGAGAGGGAGAGAGACCATGTAAGCAATAAAGTTGTCTTTCTTCAGTTTTTCGCTGTAATAGGGTGTCAACACACAATGTGCGGCGCCGCATACATGATCCTGAAACCACAACCAAAAAACTTTTGAGATTCATCATCGTTGTCACAAATGTAATCCCTTGGGCATTCAAAGACTAAGATGTAGCAATGGACCAGGATCAGGCTCGCCAGCCCATACGCTTCCCTCATACTTAGTTATTCCAGTCTGAGCCACAATCTGCACAGCTCATGCCCGACCCCACGGGCCACATGTTCTAGCCAGATCAGGTCGAGCTACCCGGCCCACTGCAACCCCTATTATACAATCTGTTGTACCATTGGAAGCACATATCTGAGCTAACTTGTCAACTATGCACCATTACATAAAGACTGCTGGCAAACAATGAAAGACTTGATTATTTAAAGAAGGCCATTACCTCATTAACCCCAACTTTGGGACAAAAGAAGCGACTTAAGAAATCATATCCAGTTTCAATAGGAGCAAGGGCAGTAACAATAACTCCTCTTCCTTTACATTTTCTTATCTCATCAAACTGTGGTCTCAAATTCATAAGGTCCTTCACTGAAGAGAGTTCAACCTGTAAGAATAGAAAATTCTAATGTCAAAAGTACCCCACACACATAGCTAAGAGAGAGAAAGCGAGAGAGTGAAGAGACTAGAAAGAGGGGGGGAGAAACACTCATCATCGAGATTGAGATTGAGATTGAGATTGAGAGATTACAAGTAAGTCGCCGGCTGATGTTTTCTTTACGCTGGTCATGGAAGCACCATTCAAGGTCTCAGGGAGTAAAGGGATCTCCTCTTCCCCACATTCACCAACTGTCAGTGCAGGGAAATCCAATTGAATCTCAAAGTTCCCTCCTTGTGTCGATTCGACCTTTTTTACAACCAAAATGCCGGATTTGCCATGGAAAGTGATCTCATCGCCTTCCAAACCAGTGGAGAATAGGAAGTATGCAGCTGCTAAAGTTGCATGTCCACATAGTTCCACCTGTAATATCATAGTTATAAGTGTGTGTTCCCCATCCAGTCAAAGTAACGCGCACTTCCAAACTTTATCACAAAATCCAATTTTAGCGTAAAATATTTTAAGGATCCCAAGAATCAACTTTTGTCTCTGATTATAAAATTTTAAACTTCAAAATTGGTTCAAATCAAGTGGATCTATTAATGCATAAAAATCTAAAAAATTGACGGTCTAGATAATGTGATGCAAGATGTACTAGTTTAAAGACTTTGAAATCTTTTTTTTTTTCTTTTTCCATATCCCTACGTTTGGACTTCAAGAAACTCAAGTCGATGGTTTTCTAATGCCAAAACAACCTTTTTCGATGGATTTTTTAGGCGTATCTTAATTCTACAATTTATAATGTCAACCTTATGTAAACCTTTTCATGGTTATAATGGTTACTTCTTTTATTTTAGGAAAAAGTTTATATAAGGTCACAACCTTAAAAAATAGAATTACAAATGCACCTAATAGAATTACAAATGCACCTAATAGATTGGAGAATTTACATAGGAGAATTTTGTTAAAAAATTTTACATTGGAGAATTTTGTTAAAAAATCCTCTAATAGATCATCTCGACATTTAGATGAAACAAAAATAATTTGAGTCCAATAAATAGTACATCTTACAACACATAATCTAGGCCGTCCATTTTCAAAATTTCCATATGTTTATAGATCTGCTTGATTTTTACCATTTTTTAAGTTTTAAATTGTATAATTAGGTATGAAATAGATTTTCAGATAATCCTAAGAACTTTTTATATCAAAATTGTATATTATGATAAAATTTGGAGGTGCACCTTAATTGAATAGTTTAAGGCTGCAACCTTATAAAAACCACACAGTTTGCACCTTATAGTCATGGACATGTGAGGTTTTGGTAAGGCTGCGGCTTTGCATGATCCCCATCTCATTTTATTTGAATTAAGTAACGCGAGCAAAATGATGGTTGCATCCCGGTGTGTTTAGGTTAGAAACCCAAAATAAGCATAGTAAATGAAAATAAATTAATTCTAGATTTCTTAAGTGGGCTCATTCATAATTGGGTTCGTGCTGCCTTGATCTGAGCTAAATAACATAAATACCCTTCTTTATTCAGATTTTAATGGTAACAATGAACCCTAGTTAGTGAAGGATAGAATATCTATGGCATATATTTCCTCCCTTTTCTCTTGAATATATTGTTAATGTATCCAAATAAATTATAGGGAAATTTCCTTTTTTCATGAATATATTTGTAAATACATATAAGTAAATTTTAAGAAAATTTATGTTAATATCCATTATAAAAGAGCGGAATTAAAAGTTTGTTTTGAATATTTTATATTTTATATTGTATTTTCTACTTTATTTAATTTCCCAAAATGTCCTCAATTCAAAACTAGGAGTTTTGCACCATTATGTACTGAACATTAGTTGGAGATTAGTCCCAAACAGGTATTTTCGTGTACAAAATATGGAAACAAATATTGAACTATTGATTTGCAACTTCTAATTTTAAACCTCTTCTTCTTTTCTTTTTTTTTCTTTTTTTTTTTCTCCAGGTAATTTAATGGGAAAGAGTAAAGACATGCCCCTACACATTTTTTAGTTTTTTTTTTTAAAGTGTTAGTGGGGTGGTGTTAGTAAGAATGATATCGGCAAACGTTGTGACTAAGGTGTGAAGGTGCTACTACTATGACTCCAAGCCAAAAACATTGGTGTTAGTTCGAAACCAGTAGAACTGGTGATAAAGACACCGGTTCAGAACCGCTAGGTCGAAACCAATGTTTTGTTGACAAAAACATCACTTCAAAACTAACAATTCCGAAATGGCGATAAACAGGTGATAAAACAGCGGTTCAAAACTATTAGTTCCAAGCCAATATTTCTTACAAAAAATCGTGAGTTCGGAACCAGCAAATCCGAAATGGCGATGAAGACATCACTTCAGAACTACTATTTCCAAACTGGCAGCATTTTGGGAAATAAAAAATGGTGAAAAATAATACTAACAAAAAGATATAATATATTTAGACATTTTGGGTATAGCATAGATATTACCAACCTATATTGGAATACTCTAAATATCAACTGTCCACAAAAATGCCAAATCTTCCGAGCGTAGACTGTTAGTTGTTCTTCTGGTGCAAAATGTTCATTAAGTCAAACAAATAGCTTTTTTAAGGGCAATTTTATCGAAATATAAAGTATTTAATATCGATTGAGACTATTGACTTTTTGATACAAGATGGTCACAATTACTTACAATCATCCAATGTGAAATTTAATAGCTTTGGTGTGTTAAAATATTTGAAAAAGTTTCTTTTGAAATTTGAGCTTGGTCAATGGAATAAATGCAATCAATTAATTTCACATCCAATGGTCAAGATTAATTGTGATCATCTTGTATCAAAAGCAAATAATCTCATTCTATACTCTTTTCTTTAATATTTTACCCATTCACAACTATTCTAAAACAAGATTGTGTCTTTTCATAGGTATTTTGAATTAAAATCAAAATTTCAGTATAAGACTATGCATATTTCATTGATACTTCAAGGTGAAATCAAAAGATATGGGCATAATTTTAAATTGTTCATCTCGGTAATTTAAATAAAGAGAAGTATATAATGAGACCATTTACCCTTGTTACAATGCGGTCACAATTAATCTTAACCATTGAATGTAAAAGTGGGTGGCTGTATTTATTTCATTGATGAAGCTCAAAGTTCAAAATATTTTTTTTCGAATATTGAGCCATACTCAAGCTCTAAGATTTCACATTTTACATCATATGGTTATAAATAATAGTCACTTCCATCTTCTAAAGGCAAATTGTCTCATTGTATGCAACTTTTTTTAATAAATTTTTAGTTTTTATAGTGTGATAAACTTGTTGTTTTAAGTAAATCATTTACTCTTGATATAAGGAGGTTACCATATTCATTGACTATTATATTTGAAATAGAGCGGTTGAAGACGTGTCGGGTACAAAGTTCAAAATAAGTTTTTTAAATATTTTAATATATTTTCATCTATTGAGTTTCACCGGCTAAAAATAATTGTGATCTCCTTATACTAAACAATCAATGGCCTTATAATAATAATATCTTTTGTCAAAAAAATAAAACCACGAGCCCAGGAAAAAAAAAAAAGATAAAGAAAAAAATAGCGAGAAAAAAAAAAAAAGAAAGAAAAACTAACCTCTTGTGCGATTGTGAACCATCTAATATGAAACTCGTTTCTACTCTTTGAGTGCTTAGTTGGGTACAAGAAAGAAGCCATGGGTGTATTGATCTCAATCGCTACATCTTGCATCCATTTGCTTTCTCTCTCTTCTTCCAATACACAAACAGCAGCCGGGTTCCCTCTAAATGCAACATTTGTAAACGCATCCACCTTTTTGGCATTCATTCAAAACAAGAATAAAAAAGAAAAAAGAAAAACATATTATTTCATAAAACAATATGATACATCGAGGGCAAATTACAGAATTTTTAGATTAATAAGTTGGGTCTCAAAATAAGTATCAAAACTTTAGAAAATAATTGTTTCTCAGAATACACTCATTAAAAATCCATCAATTAAAATAAATATAACTCGGGAAATTTAATTCTTCTTCATTATTTATATACAAAAAGAAATCACGGAGAAAACTAAAAGGCAGATAGTTAACTTCCTTGGATTTCCATAAGAGACAGTATTTTACTTGAATCTCGGGCATAAAAAATGAGATGAAAACTTTTTTGAGGAAATTAAGCAAAAATTTAACCATAAAAAAGAAGTAAAAAATTTATAGACGATATTGGAAGAGAAATAAATACCAAAGCAAATTTCACTGGCTGTTTAGGCGAACTGCAAGCTTCCTCCATCGACCCTCTCTCTCGCTATCCCTCTGAATGGTTGTTCAGGGGCTTCAATCCTACCTTAATTCGAAGGTCAAGCAGGTTAAGGAAAATGTTTATATAAGGTTGAGACCTCATTTTATACGGGTAAGGTGCACCTAAGAAACCTAATAGTGAAGGTTCCTATGTTTAAAAACCCTCAAAATCGATTATCTCAACATCAACATTCATAAATATGAAAAAAGGGGATTTTTAATTCCTAAAATAGTTCATCTTCTAATGACCGTCCATTTTTCAGATTGTAAAGTGTTTATAAATCTTCCTAATTGTCACCATTTCAGGATAATTTGGAGGCGCACCTTACTTCAATAGTATAAGGTTGACACCTTATACAAACCACTCCCGTTATAAATGTACAATTGTTGGTTTCTTACTATCGCGATTCAACGGTTGGATTCTCATGATGCATGGGATCTGACCCGTTAATAGGACAATCCATGGTCGCCGCCATAGTGGAAATCAGTGTTCCATACTTGGGCTTGATTTTAGCTGTATTCTCGTATCACACCTGCCAGGTCTATCGTATTAAAAATAACCCATTTATTGGTAGCCGTCAGATGTGGAACTTGACCGACACAAGTGTACTATTTTTCTGTATGAAAACCTACGCGCGCAAGCAATGGCACATTTTGAGCCGTTCGATTTTCAAAACTTGAGCCCATTGACCACCCTTTTTTTTTTTGTCAAATTTACTTTTCCCTGACTTCTCGACTAAACTAAGAGTCAGCTACATTAGGATTTTTGATATCCCAATATGGGTAGGTGAAGATGGTTATGGTTCATGTGGTTAATGATGATTAATTGAATTTAAATAATAATAAGATGCTTTGATTTTTTTTTATTTGAGTTTTGAGCTGATGTGTAGTTTTACTTTTATATGTTTTGCTTTTATCTAATTGCAATTACCAAAAAATAATAAATCTAATTGTAGTTAAATTTTGTCATATTTAATTTATTTATTAAATTATGACAATTTTATATTTTTTTAATTATTTACCTATTTTCTTAAGAAGAGTAAGTCACGGAGAAAATTCAAAACTCACAATGTGAAGCATCTAAATAACCTTCCAATGTCAACCAGATGGCTTTTCTTCGGGTCGCAGTATGATATAGTTTTCCGTAACAAACTAAACTTGATTATATAGAGATTATGTATCTTTGGAGTTCAAAACATGACTTAATCATAAAGCTTATTAGGTTTCAATCTCAATAGATTAGGTAAGTAGCATTTGACTTTCGGCTCGAGCCTCGAGGTAAGGAGTGAACATCTAATGATATTTTTCCTTAACAAACTAAACTTGAGTATACAGAAATTATGTAGCTATAGAATTTGAAATGCGACTTAGTCATAGAGCTTATTATGTGTCATTTGGAATAGATTAGGTATATAGAATTTGAAATGCGACTTAGTCATAGAGCTTATTATGTGTCATTTGGAATAGATTAGGTATATAATGTCAGTTTCAATTGGAGCCATGCCTTACTTTTGTAGTATAAAGGTAACACCTTATATAACTACCCCAAAAAAAGAAAAAATCAACACTTTATACAATTTTTTTTTAAATTATATATATATATATATATATATATATAAATGCTATGCAACATTTATAGGCGAAAATGAACAGTAATTTCGTCTACTCCCATCACCGTTCAAAGTTCATCGCGCGATCACGATTGTTCGGTAGTGTTTCATTTTTCATTTTTTTTTCTACAAATTGGAATGACCTGAAATCTAGAGCGTGTATTCATAAAAAATAAAAGAATATTCTAAAATTATATAAAAAAATATTTTATATGAAAAATTGATCAAAATACCCCTGAAAAGCTTCAAGGGTATTTTGGATAATTATTTTTTAGGATAATTTTTTTTATATTTTTATTAAATGCGTATCAAGAAGATGTACAAATTTCAGGTCATTCTGAATTTTAGAAAAAAATAAAACACTATCGGACAATCGTGATCCCACGATAAAATTTAAAATTTGATAAAAATAAACAAAATCACTATTCATTTTCGTCTATTGACGTTGGAATGACTTTTCCATATATATATATGGGTGCATCTAAACTACCTAATGATGAAGTTTATGCATCTAATATTGGAAAGCAGTGCCTGCAAAATAATTTTTTACTTATAGTGGAATTTGAAGCTTCTTATTATAATGCGTATCTTATGGACTTAAAAACTTGAAATGAACCATCCATACAAAGCATCGAAAATGTACGCATATGTAAATTGCAAGCTCATTAATCTCTCTACAAACCTTGGGAATAGAGTGAGGTCCACGCAAGTGATTTAAAAGTTGTCCAGACCGTATGACTCAATTGGTGATTTGAAAATTGCGGAGCTGATCTGAAATCATCTGAGTCGGCGGGGATTATTAGCAAGGTGATACCGATTTGAGCAACCCTAGAATTGCCACATTTATTAAACATTTTACATTTTTGGTACTATTCCAACTCATCATCATGATGTATTTTTATGGGCATTTTCAAATTTAATCAAGAGATACTAAAACTTTTTAATGTTGTATCTATTTTGTTTGATTTAATTTTAAAATACTTATAAAAGACATGTGATCATGTGTGGGATTAGTATAAAAATGTAAAATAATAAATAGTAAATTTCTCATGAGTATTAATAATAAATTTTCTGTTAAATCAAACAACATAGGTAAATGTTGAAAAGTTCATCGCACAAATGTATTTTGATATTTTTTTTAAAATATTTAGTGGATAACTAAAAAATGAGAAGGCAAATGTGTACCCAGTAATATGTGATCCCAAAACGTTTTGCCTTGCGGGCATCTTCGTTATTATCCTCAAAACCAATGGTATTTTGGGAATCCTCCTCATTCCCCCGCCCCCTTCTCTCTCTTCCCCCTCTCTCTCTCTCCGCAAGACGAAAGCTCATCTCTCTCTGAGACGAAATCTCTTCTCTCTCTCTCTTTCTTATGCCTTAAAAGACTCATCTGGGACTTGAACTTTGTCCTTTATTGATCGTGGTCTCTTTAATTTGGGGTTTCGTTGATCTCCGAGGCTGGGTCTCCCTCTTTGCTGTATTGGAATATACCTGGGCATATAAGAATCGTCGAGTTCCAAGGTTTGTCTATTTCTAGCATCAGTTTTATTTCTCTTGGATTTCATTGCTTTGATAATACCACTTAAAACAAACCCAGCTGTGAAAATGGCGAGTTCAGGGCTTGTGGCCAGAGAAGGAATCCCATTTCCCCATGTTGTCTCTGACCCTAATTCAGGTCTCTCTCTCTCTCTCTCTCTCTCTCTCTCTCTTAAATCCCTTATTTGACTGTTAAGCTTTAGTTTTTACTGCAATATTGCGTGTTGTGCTTTAATTATGTGTGATTCTTGCTCAATTTTTAACTGTTCATGGTAATGTCCCAGTGTTTTTGTTTTTGTGCACAATCATGGGCTACCTCTCTCTCTCTCTCTCTTTCAAGATGCAGCAAAAACAATTACTGTGGTGTAAAATTATTTATTTCTGCTTAATTTCCTATTTATTTTTGTCTACTCTCTTCTTCAGGGGATGGATATCTCACGGGCTATTACAATTTTTGTTTGCATGCATACTTGTTCATTAATTTATACGCTTTGTATCTTGGGTTTTTCATATACTGATCTTAAGTGAATGGTTGCTGATATTCAGATTTAGGGCATGGTCTTTCACACTCATTAGTGTATGAGAACTCTCAATTTCTTACAATTTCATATTTTTAGTTTTTAACATGAAGGTTTCTTACAGTGTTAGAAAACATGTGCTCGAGTTGGGACACACGAGGGTCCCGATCCTGAGTAACATGGCCAAGTCTGTCAGAGACTTGGCTGAGTCCAACCAAAAGAAATAATAAGGTAATGGGAGCGGGCCAGACTCGGCCGATTCCTGTTGTGTGTTTCTGGGCTCGGCAGGGTGTTGAGCTTGAGTGAACTCACTCCAGTTTTCAACACTGGTTTAATATATGGTTACTAACTGATTATGTAATTTTGTCCATCTTTATGCTGGAAATATCTTCTGTGCTCTATCTTTTTGGGACAAATTTTTGTGCCTTTTTTGATAAGTTTTTAGTTATTGGGTAGTAATAAATTTTGATATATTCATAAAAATATTAGAAGTAAACCCTTTGTATTATTTATTTGAAAATTATAAAAAGAGGTCCTTAATTTTTAGTACAAGGAGGTCACAATTACTATTGTCAGTCATATTTTAAATCAGGTGATTGTAAATGTGTTATTGAGTAGATTTAAAATTAAAAATAAAATTTCTCGAACTCTGTAACACACCCTAAGCCATCTGATTTGACATCACATGGTTAAGAGTACTTGTGACCTCCTCGTAATAATAGTAAATGGTCTCACAGCATACAATCCCTTATTTATTTATGGATATATTCCAAGAACATTATTTTAGTTAAAGATTAGTTTTTACAATAATCCCCCTGTTTCCTCTTTTTGGTGGCTAGAGAATAAAGATGTGTTACTTGTGTTTGAATTGTGATCCAGTTGTTCATCTTCACTTGCCTTACGCAATTTTTTTGTTTGTTTTATGCAATCTTTGGATATAAAGGAGTTTGTGCGCCAATTGTTGCAAAACATAATGTCAGCAAATTCATTTCCTGCACCTATTTTTTGAACTTAAATAGTAGAATATAAACATTTCTGATTCAAATGTTGAGTTGCTAGTGTGTTTTTGCTTCAATCAAGTGTGACTAACTTGAGTATACATCTTTGTATAGGAGTATTATCTAATATGATTTAAATTTCTTACCATGAATACGAATTCTAGAGGAGTTGTAATTTGCACAGGTCTGATGAATGTGTTTATGATCAATATTCTTATAAAATGTTCTTTAGGTAACTGGAACCTAAATTTGGTTAATAGTATTTTATGTTTTCTCCATGCAAACCACTTCGATATGCTTGGTGATACATGATTATTTTTTTTGTTGTATATCAATGGAGATAAATAATTAAAGACTCAACTAAGTGCGTGTTAGGAAATAGCATGTTCTAAGAGTCTTGTACAAAGATATCATGTCGATTTTTTATAATGATATCTATATACGGCCACTTTTGTGTGCTGATTTTTTTTTAATTTGTTGTCCATTGTGAATATCATTGTCATGCATAGGGTGACATTTTATTTTCATCATGTAGTTCCTTATATTAGCTGCTTTCCTGGTGTTTGGAGTTATTTAGAGCATCTCACTGCAGATTCCAAATGTCTTCATATTTTAAATTGTTTGGATTCATTTTCAGGAGAGAGTTCAAGATCACGTGGGGCCCTCATCGAAAAGAAAATTGAATTTCTTGAAAGTTTTTCCAATAAGGTAGTGGTGTTCCTGAAATGGGAGGGTGCTTTATGTTCCTATTTCAGTTATAGGTTATGGGATCCAAGGAAATTTACATGTAGAGATCTTTTAAGAGTGCAAACATGTGTGTATAGGTACGTGATGGACTGTTAATAGGTGAGAAGTAATATGCAATAATGAGTTTTTTGTTTTTTTAAAAAAGCAATAGTTAGCATCTCATTTATTTTCAAATTTTTGAGAGGAATGTAGTGATAGGGAAAATAATGCAAGTATTTTTTTAATGGCTGGTAAGGTAATGCGATTTTACATCTGCTTAGAAATTTCATGTAAAGTTGATGTCCAATCTTCCCATTCAAAGTAATGAAGTAATATGCAATAATTAGTTTTCAAAAAAAAATAAGAAGCAATATTTAGCATCTCATTTATTTTCAAATTTTTGGGAGGAATGTAGTCATAGGAAAAATAATGCAAGTATTTTTTTTTAGTGGCTGGTAAGATAATGCTATTTTATATATACCTAGAAATTTAATGTAAAATTGTTGTCCAATCTTCCCATTCAAAGTAAGATTTGGTTTTTGAATTAACTTTTGGTCTAGGATAATTACTTATTCATTGTTTTTGCAACCCATCTTTCGTATAGGGGTCACGGGTCACATACTGTTGGAATGACGAAGTTTTAAGATGAAAAAGAAATTACGACGATGCATATCTTGACGTCCTTTGCTGTTTGTGCTTTATAGCCTGCCATTTGATAAAAAGGAAAGAGTTATCATTTTTCTTTTTCCTTTTTAATCCTCTTCAGCAATTCACATATTTGTGCAGTTTTCCGCTTCTTCTTTAATGGAAGTGGTACCAAATGGATGAGTTTAATTTATCTTGTATGCATGATACACTTAACATTCTCCAGATTTTTACCGATAATGAGTTGCTCATTTTTTTTACATAAATGGTAATGGCTTTTATGTGGGTAATTATTATGCTGATCTTTTTAGCCTGTGGCAGATTAGCAACCGAAGATCGCGCAGATGGCTGAATGATCACTTATTGATTGAGCTTGTTCCTCCATTGAGTGCAGATGAAATTAGGGGTCTCTTTGCCCCACCTCCATGGGGTAAACATTTTGTTTAAGATGATTATTTTGGACATGTCTTTCATCGAGTTCTTTCTTCTGATGGTTTTGCAAGTAGGGGAAGAATATTATAGTTTCAAATTCTATAATGACCTGCCCAAAGAAAGCAAACTATAGTAGAATGGAGAATGATATGTGGTGCTCCAAAGGGGCATCTACTATCTGTTTCCATTGAGGGATAGTGGAGATTAACTATGAGTGAATCTACAGGTGACCATACTATAAGTTAATCTCCACTATCCGTCATCTGGAACAGATAGTTGATGCCACTATGGATTTATAGATTGAGTACTTTCCATTGAGTTGTGGTCTATTCTCCTTGTGTATAATGTAAAGTTCTGTCTTGTGACCTTTTCATGTAATCTAGCGCTGTAATCCTTGGATGCAATTGCCAATCCTAGACCCTTTCCCAAGTGTGGTTTCAAAAATCTCTAATATTTATATCTGGATTTTCATTATATCTATACCATGAAAAAAAATCTGCTTGGGTGGCTTTCTATTGAGTTGAATTGCTACATTATATTTGGGACTGTGAGAAGTTCAGTTGAATTTTGTGGTTAGGCTGGCAATTCAAATTTCTTGAAACAAATATTTTCAATTAGTTGGAATGTTTCAGAATGGCTGTCGTACGCCGTTTATTCCTCTACTCTTTCATTGTTTATGATATGAACAAATGTTTACATTTATTACTGAGAAGCTTGAATTGCTTGAAGACTATTTTTCTTGAGAAGCATTAATATTTTATGAAGTGCACATCAAATACATATGTTCATAGAAATGAGAAAAGTATAGAACATGAGGACCTCTGCTGAATGAAACGGAAAGAAGTGATGATGGAACTTCTAAGACTAACTCATAGGCTTACCCTTTTTTAAGACAAGTATGAAGTGATTGATGAGTGACATTGGAAATGAACATCAAGTGTTCATATTTGTGTCTCTTTCCTCTGTAATTTAACAGACTGTGCTAAAACCATAATCTATTGAGTCATCAGCCGCTGATGAAATGATGGATGGTGATGGAGGGAGGGTGGGACCCTCCGTCTTGTCTATTTTGGTGGGTCCCATCTTCTCTCATCACTATTGTCCATAATTTCAATGGACAATCATGATACTGTAGAGGTTTTTCCAAAGTCCATTGAATTGTAGTATACTTTTCGATCAGAACTTTTATGTTGGCAGCTGTGGATTTGAGATTACAATATTATATCCCATCGAATAGTAGATGATTGAGTAGATCAAATTGCTCTTCAGTTTTTGTATTATCAATGGAGCTCGTTATTAAATCCTTTCCATTATGCTCTACAAAGTTGTCCTTGTCTCCTTGATTTTGTCCATTTCCTTGGAAGTACAATTCTTGACCCTTTTATTCTTTTCAAGCAGGTGAGGGTACAACATCATCACCATTTTGCATGAGCAACATGGGCGACTGGGATTCATTTAGAAATATTGACATGGATAAAGAGGTTTGGCTTCTTATTCATGAAGTACTATTTGATTCTTAAAAGTTACTTTTGGATGCGGTATTTACCAATGCGCCTCATCATCATCATAGCTTTTTCCCAATTAATTGGGGTCGGCTACACGAATTCTGGTCCTCTGCTCTATTAAAGGCCATACCCTCATTGAATGCTTGTGGAAAAAAAAATGTTTTACTACTTTTGTATGAATGCTTTATTGTACATCATTGATGCTAACACAGGTTGTTTCTTGCACATCCTTGACAAGCCTCATAAATGAATTTATAAGTCTAGCTTGTAGTGTTTTTCTTAATTTGATAAATGAGTTGCTTCTAGCTTGATTAGAAGTCCTTGGAACTTCAATTATGGCGTCGGTGAAAAAGCTCTCTTATACTGCTTAGGAATATCTGTAATGGCCAAAAATATAATATTTGAGTGATTGAAAGTTTACAAGAATGGGGCATCCATCATCCCGTCTAATAACTGGTGCTGGAGATTGTGTTCCTGGGTGTTCCTATGGGGCCAACTATGATTGATCTCCACCATCCATCCTTGGGAATGGATGGTGGATGCCAGTTGGATTACATTGTGAGGTACACTGTTGGGATGTGGTGCACTTTATGTTTGACATGATTTGTTGTGATTGAATGCTGAATGCTTCCACAACAGTTTTTGCATTGGGTATTTGTGACTGCATATTTGGTATTTAATATGGCTTGTGGCCACAGCATAATACTGTTTTTCCCTCTGATGTTCTTAGGCAAGTCTGGTAAAGTCTATGGAAAACTCTGCAACAGAGAGGAAACAACATAATGTTAGTGATAGGATGGCTGCGTTGAGAGCTTGGCAACGAGTCGATCATCGGACCAGAGATGCACTGAGGCATAGCTTTCTTTCTAATCTCATCGACAGTTATGAGGTAATTTTAGCCATTTATCTTTTAGAACAAATATGTAGTTTAAAAATTCCAAATAATGATTAAAAGTAAAAAAACTTGACCATTTCAGATTACAATAAGCTCAGGAAGCATGAGAAGGTATACACGAGAGGGGTATCCATGGGAACTACAAATATTCTCTTTGTATGTCTAGGCTTTGTTTGGGATGGCGCCAGTAATGCACTATGGTGCATTTGACGATTTCCTTTTTAGTGGCAGTTAAATAATTTGCCCTTCTGAACTGAATTAAATTGCTCTTAGTACTTCATCTATTTTTCTTTAGTGAAGTCAGCCGCTTTCACCAATGCTATCTGTCAGAAAGCAAAAATAAAATTGTTCCATGGTGCTGGTAGCAGATAATACGGTTCTCAACAAAGTGGCTGTTTTTTTTGGGGTATAAAATCTACTAAATAAAGCTAAAACATAAATGTGAGGGATAATAAAATAAATGAGGTACATAACACACATAACACCCCATAACCCGAATAGTTAGCTGTTTACCACATTAGCAAGTCAATCTGCAATCCCATTTGGTCTCAGAATGTGACGATATGTAATTGGAATAACAACGGTGATATTAGAGAATCAATCAAGGATTTCCAAAAGTGTCCTTCTGTCCACGGAAGGAGCAAGGCCCCATTTGTCCCAATGATGGATGATGGCTGATGACATTTAGAGGGTCTATTTTCACAACCTATGTTCTTAGAAACCATCCTGCAAAATACAAAATTGTCCATGTAACTGATTTGCCTTGTCTCAAGATTGAGTCCAGACCAACCCACACCTGTTTTGAATTAAGTCTTAAAACCCATTGGAATTGGATTCATTTCGAGTTTCAATATATTCCTACATCGGAACCCTTGTAGGAGTCCAAGTCACTCCATTTTTTTTCAAAAACAATCATTCGAGAAGCGGACAATTAGGACACCTTCATATTATGCATTGCAGCATGTTGCAAGGCCCTCATCCTTTCTTTATCAACTCAATCAACATGGTCTTTTTCACTCGTCTTTGATGGATTGATGGATTCTCCCTGTATTTCCTCCATTTCAAAGTTCAAAAAATGGTTGTCACAATTATTACAGAGAATGTCCCATTCTGCTTTATGTTGTCTCAAGCCAAAACTGCAATAAAATAAATGAGTGAACAATCCAATAAGTGTGATGAAGAGTACACAAATTAGTACATTGCATTTCTTTTCATGCCATGGAAGGAAACAAAAAAATATAGCAATTTTTGGGAATCTTGTGGGCTTATCTTTGCCATTTTCTTTTGAAATTTAATTTGGTGCATCTTTTGTGCCAGGAGCGCATAAGGACGTATGTGAAGGAGGGTGGAGATGGAGAGGTACTTGTGCTACAGGTCGAAGACCCATTTCATCGACTATTACTCCATGGAATATGCGAGGTTCTCTCTTTTCCTCTCTCTCTCTCTCTCTCTCTCTCTCTCTCTCTCTCTCTCGTCTCGTACTACGTACGTACGTACGTACGTACGTACGTACGTACGTACGTACGTACGTAACGTAACGTACGTA